CGATCGGTATACCCGTTTGTGCGCGGTGTCCCTCTCGCCGCGACGCGACAATTTTGACCCCTGCACTATACCCGGAATATTTTCCCGCTTTTTATTGTATAGAGATATTCTGATGTCAGATCCTCACCACTGGGTTATCAGACAAAGTTACAATGTTCTAGTAGTACGTTCATGGTACGAAGAAATTTTTGTTAGTATCATGTGGGAAATAAAAAGGAATTCTTCGAACTATAAACCTTGAGAAGTTGCTTGTGTAATATCTTCGTATTTTCTGACATATAACGTGTTGAGAGCATAGTGATGATTCGTTTTCTGAGTATAAGAATACAGACATAAACTGGTACAATAGGTACTGTCATGTGCAGAATTGCTGTAAATGTTTTCCATTCAAAAACGTTAGTATGACCGCTAATGGTCTCGTTCTCAATCACGTAGTGCGGCAATTTCTGCACCAGAATCGGAATCAGCGTTGCAGTGGGCTCATTTGCAAAGCACATTATGATCTGAACCAGAGATATTTGAATCAGTAAGATTATTGTTGAGAAACCTTACCAGTTGGAAGCATGACGGTAAGGAAACGATAGCTATAAGACATTTAAGCAATCGAGGTGATGGCTGTTGTTTTTTTAGTATGTAATATCTGAAGAAAAACGAGAATAACAAGGAATAGAGAGAATGAGCATAGCAGAACAGTGCGACACTGTACCTGAAAATACACGCTGTAATTCCGAACAGCACGCTGCCACGCTAGGAGGCAGCCAACTAAAATGCACATGACTAGCCGTGAGACAACTAGCTAGAAATCGCCGGGACATCCGCCTCTTCTGCATGCAGCTCTTCGAGAGCTTCTTTGTTAAGAACTTCGCAAGTAATTTTATGTCAACTACGAGGTTCATCTTCCACGAAAGATGTCTCTACTAAGGTGATAGTTTCGCGCCCTTCGTTATCAACACTACAATTAAGGCCATTTGTACGGTGGTTCTAGTCTTTACTCCTTCGCTCTCATTCTGGATAAGCGACGCTCAACTTATGTCGGCAC